CACTTCTTCGGATGCATATATATGTTCCATTCTATATGCATCCGAAGAAGTGGGCTGTAGTCCACGAAAGCTTATGCTCTAATAAATTTGTTAGTCTCTAAGGTGCCACAAGTACTCCTGTTCTTCTTTTTGCATAATAATAAAGGGCATTCTCATTGGCACAAGGAGAGATCCCTGTCAAGGACTGTCCATAAGAGATGCACTCCTCCCCTGAGCCCATCGAGATTGGGTGAGCCTTCTAAAGGAGGACAAGTAGGTGGCAAAAAGAGCTCTTCAGGTTGAAGTTGATGCAACAGATACAGCATCCAGAAGCTTGACCACTGGTGTTTTTATGAGGAGGGATTCTTGGTTGCAATCCTTAGGCTTTCCCAGGGAAGTGAAGAATACTATGCAGGCCCTTCCCTTTGATGAGTCAAACCTCTTTAATGAGAAAATGAATGACTCTTCATTCATTAAAAGACTTGAGGTCTACCCTCCACTCCTATCTATATTCCGCTATCTGCCCTCCGTCCCCTCTGCTTCTGGTCTGATTGGATTCACTGTGAGACGAGAAACTGAGGGGATGTCAACCAGCACTACCTTTTATATCCTCACTCAGAAGCACAAGGAGACCTACTGCACATGTGAGGACCAATGGACACTGCTCATTAAAATGTCCGGACTCAGATGCATGCTCATGCATATCCATGTGTTGAATACAGATACGGACCACGTATCTCAAAGAACTTCCAATATTAGTAAACAACTTCCATTTGTCATTGGTTGGTCTAATTCAGCTTTGTAATAATTGTATTTCTGTATTTTGAATTGCTGATTCTCTTTCAGGAGTAGCATTTTTAATGTATATGAATAAATCAAATATGATTGTTCCTTTTGGAAGATAATTCACTGTTTGTAGATGTGGAGATACTCTGCAGAGATTAAAGGAATTCAGCCTCTGGCTTGAAACCTATGTTAGTTTTGGACTGGCTTTGTTTGCTACCTTTAAACTACAAGTTATTTGTATTTATAAGGAATGGTGGTATGAAAGGATCATAGGTTAGTGTTTAGAACACAGGACTAAAAGGCAGAAATTTGGGGTTTATTCTTAATTCTGCCACTGAGTTACTGTGTAATCTTAATTGCATTCTGTGCCTGTTTTGCACCTGTAAAATGGGAGATCAAAGTTCTTTAATATTCTTAAATGAAAGCTGATGTAGATGTATAAAGCATTATTAAGCTTGAGCTTGAATTGTCAACATGATATTCTAGGACTGATGCTTTTCATGGTTTTTAGACAAATCTTGGCAGAATTTGTTTCCTTAGAATGACACTTTTTTTCCCTGTCTCCAGATCTATTATCAGCAGAAGATTTTTCTGTATAGTTGGCACACTATACCTATATCGGTGTATTACGATGTATGTAACTACACTGCCAGTACCCGGTATGCATTTCAACTGCTCTCCAAAGGTAAGTTTTTCTCACTGCAATTCCATTTTGTAGCTTCTGTTCTTTTTCTTTTTTCCACACGCCAGAGATCCTTAATAACTGTGAACAGCCTTCTTGATTGTAACTCTCATATAAGTTGGAATGGCAGGGACTTTTTTCCCACAGATCATCGATGCTGCGAATTTGTCAACTCGAGTGCTAGCTGTCGAACAATGCAAAGCACTCCCTTCTCAGGCCTAATGTGCAGTGTTTGTATCGATTTTTAACTATTTTGCCTTTTTTGACTGAGATAGTGGAATTTATACATCCTATAATGAGATGCAGTTACTGACGTAAAGGTGCCATATACCACTGTAGCTTACTTCTAGAGCTGAGCAAAATTTGAAATTTCCATCTCATGGGAAATTCCAGTATTTCAGCATTTATGTTTTCATCCTGAACTGAAAAGTTAACATTTGAAAAATTTTCATGGAATTAAATATTCCAAAAAACTTCTTTTCAGAAATATTAAAATGTTTTCTGCTTTTTCAATCGAAACAAAATCTTTCATCATTCCTGAAATCACAATGTTTCATTTCAGTTGGTTGAATTCGGGTAGGATGCTTCATTGCAAGTTAGTTGGACATTAAACTGTATTTCCCCATTGTGGCACATTGCCACATATAATCATAGAAGATTAGGGTTGGAAGAGACCTTAGAAGGTCATCTAGTCCAACTCCCTGCTCAAAGCAGAACCAATCCCAACTAAATCATCCCAGCCAGGTCTCTGTCAAGCTGGGCCTTAAAAACCTCTAAGGATGGAGATTCCATCAGCTCCCTAAGTAACCCATTCCAGTGCTTCACTACCCTCCTAGTGAAATAGTCTTTCCTAATAGCCAGCCTAGACCTCCTCCACTGCAACTTGAGACCATTGCTTCTTGTTCTGTCATCTGCCACCACTGAGAACAGCCTAGCTCCATCCTCTTTGGAACCCCCCTTCAGGTAGTTGAAGGCAGCTATGAAATCCCCTTCACTTGTCTCTTCTGCAGACTAAATATGCCAAGTTCCCTCAGCCTCTCCTCGTAAGTCATGTGCCCCAGCCCCCTAATCATTTTCATTGCCCTCCGCTGGACTCTCCAGTTGGTCCACATCCTTTCTGTAGAGGGGGGGCCCAAAACTGGATGCAATACTCCAGATGTGGTCTCACCAGTGCCGAATAGAGGAGAACAATCACTTTTCTCGATCTGCTGGCAGCGCTCCTACTAATGCAGCCCAACATACCATTAGCCTTCTTGGCAACAAGGGCATACTCGTATACAGCTTCTCATCCACTGTAATCCCCAGGTCCTTTTCTGCCGCTTAGCCAGTCGGTCCCCAGCCTGTAGCAGTGCATGGGATTCTTCCGTTCTAAGTGCAAGACTCCGCACTTGTCCTTGTTGAATCTCATCAGATTTCTTTTGGCCCAATCCTCCAATTTGTCTAGGTCACTCTGCACCCTATTTCTACCTTCCAGCATATCTACCTCTCCCCCAGCTTAGTGTCATCCGCAAACTTGCTGAGGGTGCAATCCATCCCATCATCCATATCATTAATGAAGATGTTGAACAAGCTCCAGCTCCAGGGCCGACCCCTGGGGAACTCTGCTTGATACCCGCTGCCAACTAGACATCAAGCCGTTGATCACAATCTAGCCAGACAATCTAGCCAGCTTTCTATCCACCTTGTAGTCCATTTGTCCAATCCATACTACTTTAACTTGCTTGCAAGAGTACTATGTACATAAGTCTTATGGGGGGAGGGATAGCTCATTGGCCTGCTAAACCCGGGGTGTGACTTTCAATCCTTGAGGGGGCCACTTAGGGATCTGGGGCAAAATCAGTATTTGGTCCTGCTAGTGAAGGCAGGCGGCTGGACTCAATGACCTTTCAGGGTCCCTTCCAGTTCTATGAGATAGGTATATTTTTATTTACTGTGCGAGACCGTATCAAAAGCTTTGCTAAAGTCAAGATATATCACGTCCACCGCTTTCCCCATATCCGCAGAGCCAGTTAACTCAACATAGAAGGCAGTCAGGTTGGTCAGGCATGACTTGCCCTTGGTGAATCCATGTTGACTGTTCCTGGTCATCTTACTCTCCTCAAAGTGCTTCAAAATGGATTCCTTGAGGACCTGCTCCATGCTTTTTTTCCAGGGACTGAGGTGAGACTGACCAGTGTGTTCCCTGGATTATCGTTTTTCCCTTTTTTAAAGATGGGCACAATATTTGCCTTTTTCTAATCATCCAGGACCAAAGAAAATGGCCAATGGCACTGCAATCACATCAGCCAACTTCCTCAGCACCCTCGGGTGCATTAGATCCGCCCCTATGGACTTGTTCATGTCCAGATTTTCTAAATGGTCCTTAACCTGGTCTTTCACCACTGGTGAACATGGAAATTGTATTTTGGGAGCCTGTTGGGCTCTATTCTCCCCATGGACCAGGCTTCACACCTGGACTATATCTGCGATTCATGCAGAGTCTCACGATTCCCCTACAGTTTCATCAAAGGAGAGTCCAGATGGCATTGTGGGATTTGTAGTCCTCCAGACAGACTGACATGTAGGTCCCATGAGGGAATGCACTAGTAGGGAAGGCAGTTTAATGTTTTGTTGAATTGATTTGAAACAAAGCATTTCAGATTAAGCAAAGTGAAATATTCCGATTTGTATCGAACTGACCCAAAGAAATATCTTGTTTCCATTTTTCTAATAGAAAATCAAAGGGTCCTGGAAAAACAGAAATTTTCCAATAAAACAATTTGATTTTGTGGACAATAAATTTTCCATTTTAATGGTTTTCTTATGGCAAATTCCCACCAAGCTCTACTTACTTCCCCAAATTTACAACACTTACCCATATAAAGGTGCTTATACTAGGATAGCTATCATTGGATCTGCACTGGGGGCGTTATACTGTACCAGTTTGAAACCAATATAATTTAAGTGATACAAAAACTGTAGACAAGCCATAGTGCTCACTCACTCTCTTCACAGCATTCCTATCCCTAGCCAGTCTAGATGTTAATTATGGTAATTATTAAGCTTGAGAGAAATAATCTAATCAGCCTATTTGAAACCTCCCCCGTAGAAGCTCTCTACGGCTTCGTCCACATTTTTCTGTATTGGTGAAACTCCACTTACAGAGCAGAATTAGTTGGCAGGGCATCTTAAAAATCCAACACCCCTTAACCTAATTTACACTAGTATTGTCACTGTTCTTTTATGGGTGGAACTGCACTGGTGTTCTTAAAGCAGACAAACCCAAAATGTTTGGTTTCCAAGAGAAAATGTTCCAATGAGTGTGCTGACCAGTGTTGGAAATTAGCACTGCTTATATGGTGACAGTGTAGTCTTTGCCAAATCCTATGTAGCTGCTTGGAGACATATGGCTTTGTAAATGGAGGAATGGGTAGGGACATGAGAAGGGGAAATCAGCAACATGTGTGATCAGTCAGTTAAACAGGGAGCCACTATAAGTACAAAAATAAACCAGATACTATAATTCCAAACTGAGTAAATTTGCCATTTCTGAAAAGGAACATTCTTTATTTCAACAGAAATTAGGCAGGTTTGCCAACGTTTTAAATGACCTTTATAACAAAGACTAACAAGCTTTGTACTCCATTACTGCAGAGTTTTGATATTTTCTTTGATCTTTCTACAGGACTTCCTTGTAAAATATAGAACATTTTCAATCCTGAAAATCCCTTGTCATCTCTTTATCTGAGTCAGACATGATTTGAAACAAACGATTCGGTGTTTGGGAGCATTCTAGGCTTTTATGGGTAATACAGGAAGTGTTTATAATCACCCTGAAAGATACTAAACAGATCCTTAACATTTGAACTGTCTGAAAAGTATAATTCATGCCTTCAGTTGAGTTTTTAAAACAAGAATAAGCTCTAAAATAAAGGAATATTAGTCTTCAGAAGACAAATGTATTCAGTAGTTACTGATTTTAGTAGTACATGTTTTGCTCTAATTAAATGGTTACCATGGTTACTTTAGGCTGTGAACCTCTTTAAAATTAGATTAAGATACAGCATGAAGAATTATCTGGTTACTACACTAAGCCGTTAGATCCTATACTTCCAGGTAGTTTGTAGGCATGCAATACAATCTTTTCTTTGAGTGACTAATGTGCCCCTGTTATGCTTGCAACAGAGTGTAAAAAAATTCCATTACTTCTATTAGTGGCCTCTTTTGAATGAATGCAAATATCTGATCAGAGTCACTCTAGCAGGTGTGAGCAGCCCAAACAGTATCTTACAAACACTCCATAAAATAGTTAAATGATCTTCTGGAAGGAGCAAAAACCTTTGTTTGGAGGGGGAGTAGAATCTTCACAAATAGATTTTTAAAAATATATATATATTTGCCATCTGGTGCATTCTGGAGAATTTTTTTTGTTTTGCCTTCAGAAGTATCTTTGAGCTTAAATCATCCATTGCATAGATAGTTTAAACATCAAGAGGAAGAGATATAAACCCAGTCAGATATGTGGAAATCCACCTGGCCCTTCCACCTACGGTTTGAATTGAAGTAAATTAATGTGTGTGCACGCTGTGGGCTACACTAGTTGAATTTGTTTCAAAATAAAAAGTGGAAACTAATGTTCTGAGGCCTCTTAGATTTTACAGTCAAACTGCTTGTGGTTTGCTGGCAGTGAAAGGGAAGCAAAGTCCCAGGACAAATGTGAGATATGGATACTCCAATGTATGCATGTGTTCCAGGGAGCATATGTGGACAGAGGTCAACAGTAGGAATCATACAGAGAGGAAGGGGCTAACTGTAAAAGATGGCCACAGGTCATCCTTGTCCTTCTCCTTGATAATCCCTTGTGCTTGGGGTGGAAGACAGGGTTTCCACTCCAGTGAACTAGCTGAAGCTTGAGGGACATAGTAAGCCTCTGAAGAACCAGAGCTTCACCAGAGGTCAGAGAAGACTGTACACTGTTTCTTGCTTCAGACTGGGGGCAGGGAGGCACTGCAATGCTGAACCTGAACTCCAAACGTATACTTCCTACATGAAAGAAGAACACGTCATACGCTTTCCCATTTATGTCTGCTATAAATATAAATTATAGTGTTGCTGAAAAAGGTTAAGCTTTTAATTACAGTGTGAGTTGGATGAATTTGGTGAGTCTCTTGTGTGTCTATATCCTTCGGAGAGGTGTGGAGTATTTTTAATGTTGTTACTGGATGTTAAAGTATTATAAACAAGTTTTCCAGAACTTGTAAGTTCTTTTGTTTTATGCATTTGTTTGGATATGTTTTACTCTTAGTAGTTTTAGCTGGTTTTTAATAAGCTTTTGTTTGTGGAAACAGTCTGAATGTGTCTAGTTTGTGGTAATATTTTGCAATCATCTTTCTATTTAATAAAATGTTTTTGAAAACAACACTTTGCCACTCTGACTTTTTTTTAAGCTTCTTTCATGTCTTTCGCATCACATTTTTCCTTCATATTGTAGTTATTAATGTTTGGCTTCTACCATTGTTCAGTTCTCATTACCTGTTTGTTCCTTGCTAACACTTTTCTACCCCTCCACCTATTTCTCCTTCCTTGCATTCTATGTATTGTCTCCTCCATTCCTTCAGTTATTATCTTTCCATTTCTTACTCTTCTTCTCTCCAGTAATCTCACTTCTTCCCAATCACCCTCTTTCTTCTTTTTTCTAATCAGTCTCCCCAGCCTCTCCACATAGTCACCTTATGCATCCTATTCATCCCAATGCATCTGAACACTTGTGATAGGCAGGAGAATTTTGCTCCAGCCATAGACCATGGGTAATTTGCTTTTTCCCTGTCCCTGTCCTTGCTGCAGAGGGGGGTTTTTCAGTCACTCTTCACAGGAGAATAATGAACACATGTTTTATCTTCCTTTTTTGGGGAGATGGGAGGATATAGATAGTTCACAGATTGACTTTCCCCAGGAGACAGCTAAGGCACCAGTCTTCAGTTTTTTCTGCATTGGTGGAAATACGACCAATGTCCAATGTTCCTTGCTGATGTTTGAGCCAACTTGTGGAAATGATTCAACAGAGCTGGAAACGCTGTACATAATTTATGGAGGCATTTCCAACACTGGATCCACTGGGTGGTAGCCATATGAGGGGTGGGTAATAATAGAGGAATATGGTTAACCAGAACTATAAAGCTTTATAGTTCTTCTTTATGCAGAAACCATTGTATCAAATTTCAGGTGTTATCAGACCACATTGAATGTTAAGGTGGTATTTACTGTTTGATCAAGCTCATTAAATTGGACTAATTTCTGTAGGAACAGCATTGTTACTAATTCATCTTAATTGTTTACAATTTATCATTATCAAATTAAAAGGAAAATGGGGGGTTACCAGATTTAATGAAAACACCTAAAAATTGCAGTCTGTAGCTGGAATAATTTGATTTCTGTTTAACATACTTATTTTTGGTGGAGGTGTTGGGCTTCAGAATATTTGTTAGATGAGATTTTTCAAAGAGAAGAGACATTGGTATGTAAAGTACATTTTTGCAATCATTCAGTGTGTAGGATTTTATAGTGCTACAGATGTTCCTGCTGCTTGATTTGCTTAGTGTGTTATCTTGTCATCCCAGAAAACTATTCCATGTTTTTATAGCTATTGTGTTTATATTCCATTGCTGTTAGGTGTTTGAATTTTTATTTTGAGATTTGCATTGTATTGGTCCATTATTCATTGGAAGAAGTAAGTAAGTTGCATGACAGCTCATGTAATAACATAACCTGTTCTTTTTTTCTCTCCACAAACACATCTGTTTGCAAGTAGAAATCAGTGTAGCTCCAAAAAGCCCTGTATGCTAGGAACTGGATTTAGGCAAGACTATATACATTTGATTAATCTGTCAGTCTCAGTTCTGTATTTTGACTACCTGACCTTAGCTTCTGGGTTTTGTCTCATTCTTAGAAAAAAAGCTAAGTTTGGAAGACCTTTTACTATTGCTGTACAAATTATTTGCCTGGTTGACTTAATTCCTTTGCCATTCAGCTGTGAGAAAGAGTGACCACTTCACAATTTTCTGGAGATGTAACTGTAAAGGAGATAGAAAAGCTGTTTTCCTAGGAGTTGTTTTCCTGCTTTCCCAGGATTCCACAATATATTTACGGGGCTTACAAAGCATTCTCAGCTATAGCTGTGTAGCTCCCATTGAGAAAACTAAACAATTACCTGAATTTAAAGCGCCCACTAGAATCATTTTTCCTTACAGTAGTGAACAATATTGAATGTTGCCAGCAAAACATCTGCAGAAGAATGTCTTAAATGGCAGCACTTATAAATATTTATGAATACCAGGGAAAATGATTTCATCTTATCTATTTTAGTGTTACCATAACTGATAGAACTCTTAAAATCATGGCATATTAATTGCTAGATGTAATGGCAGTACCTATGGAGTTATTGCTTTGATCCAGAATAACACCTAAAAGATATGTCATGTTGATTATTTTAATTGAAAGTGAATGAGTTAAGGGCTGGCTATTTGTTAGTTTCCTTTTCTCCCCAAATCATTAGCTATTTGCAGAGAAAGGGAAAGTCCCTGACAGTTTGTTTTCTTAGGGAAGTCTCCATAATTTTTGGTTTCCTATCTTAGAAAATATAAATCTATTTATAAATCTATTTAATTAGAGTAACACTCCATGCATTTTCATCCCAGTAGTGTTTTCTGCATGTTGTAATCACAAAACAATTCCTTTATTTTTTCACCATTTTTATGTATTGTAGTCTTAAAGTCTCATTGTTATGCCCCAAAGATATTTGGCAGTAGTCTTTGGAACCAATTGGGTTTTTTTCTACTTAAATATCTCGTGTAAAGTTACCAAGATAAAGGGTCTGATCACATAAATTAGTAAGCATCCTCAAATCCTATTAGCATCAATGGGAGTCAGGCTTGTTCAGCATTGTATTGGAGATGCTTGACCCCTTGTAGGGTAATGCCCTCTCTCATAATCTGTGTTAACCTTTTATATCTTTAATGCAGTATGAAATAACCTTGGTTAAATGTGGTGTTCTCTTCTTCCACCAGCTCTTCGGAGATTGGGAGTCTCATCTGAGGAGGATAATGAAATTGCTTGCTGGAGGGGGGTTATCTATCACAGGATCCCACAACATGTGTGGTGACTATCTCTACAGCGGCCACACAGTCATGTTAACACTTACATATTTATTTATCAAAGAGTGTAAGTTCATTACAATGTTTATGGAATTTAATTTTGTATATAATTAATGATTAACGAATGTTCACTGTCTCGATCCATTAAATAATTAGAGTGAAAAACCCAGTTTGTTCAAGTCTATTCAGTAATATAAGCCAATAATATATGCTTTATTGAATATGAAAACAGGTGAAAATGGAATAAAACACTACTGTATGATTTATACTTGGATTATTCATTCTTATTAAAGTATATTTTGAGTAAACATGATATAAAACATACTTCACACTCACTGAATATAGTGCTTTTGATCCAAATATTTCAATAGTTTAAAAACACAGGTCTCACAATACCTCAGTTTAGTGTTTTGCAGAATGGGAAATGTGCACAAAAAAACCAAAGTGACTTCCCCAAAGATACTGGAAGTTGTGTGCATACAACTGAAGGGATGATCAGGCCCAAAAGGGTACATACGTATGTGTGCGCGCGCACACACACACACACAGCACACACACACACACACACTGGCAGGGAAGAGGATATAGGAAAAAAATAATTACAATAGCCATGTAGTCAAGTATCAGAGGGGTAGCTATGTTAGTCTGGATCTGTAAAAAGCAACAAACAGTCCTGTGGCACCTTATAGACTAACAGACGTATTGGAGCATAAGCTTTCGTGGGTGAATACCCACTTTGTCAGAGACACGTAGTGGAAATTTCCAGAGGCAGGTATAAATATGCAGGCAAGAATCAGTCTAGAGGTAATGAGGTTTGTTCAATTAGGGAGGATGAGGCCCTCTTCTAGCAGTTGAGGTGTGAACACCAAGGGAGGAGAAACTGCTTTTGTAGTTGGCTAGCCATTCACAGTCTTTGTTCAGTCCTGAGCTGATGGTGCCAAATTTGCAAATGAACTGAAGCTCAGCAGTTTCTCTTTGAAGTCTGGTCCTGAAGTTTTTTTGCTGCAGGATGGCTAAGTTTAAATCTGCTATTGTGTGTAGGGAGGTTGAAGTGTTTTTGTATCTGTATGTGAACACTTCAACCTTCCTGGACACACAATAGCAGATTTAAAGGTATAATTATAGTATGTATAATTACCAAGTCAAAGTACTTTATAAGATTATAGATACTTCTGTTTTTATAGACTGAGATAAACTAGCCAAATAGTCAGAGGTGTAATTTTTTGAGGAATCAATTAGCCTTTCCTTTTTTTAGTATCTGACTGTTGTCAGTTGGCATGCATGTTGCTCTCTCCGTATGCTATCCCAGCCCTGCAAAGAGAGTTGGTTCAGCAGACCTTGATAGTACTATCCAGAAAGAAAGACCACATGCACTGTTCAGTGACAAAGGTACTCGGCCAGGTTTATTGCTCTCAAGGCACAGAACTAGTGTCTTGGCTCTGTGGTTACAAATACGCAAACACAAGTGCCCAGTGGGAAGTAGTGGCAGTCAGTAGCCAGAGTCTGCTGTCCCCTAGGCCACATAAAGGGTTAAGGCAAAGTACCCTGACATTTGTAGACTAACAACTTATGTGCCACCTTATGTGTTTCATAACATCTGCGCATTACCTCCCCTTGTATCTTGCTCCAGGCATCTCGGCAAAACATCCCTATTTATCACTTTTGTCAAACCCTCTTATCTGGTGTCAGGATGTCCCCGAGCTAATTTTTTAGAGTGTGTCTACACACAAACCCAGTATCTGTTGCTTCTTAGGAGCCTGTTTTAGCAACACTAGCAATACTTTTGCTAAGGTAATATATCAGACAGTAAACTTGTAGCATGTGCTGTAATACATGGCTTGACTTTGGTTCATGACATGCCTTAACTTTGATGACTGTGATTCAGGCATCAGATCTTACACCAGGCCCAGTGCTCCAGGCTCTCGCTCTCTCTCCCCCACCTATGAATACATTTAAAAAAAATATTCTGTTTACTTTTCAAATTGAGAAGTAAACATTAATTATTTTGTTATTTCGCAATCAGATCATCCCTGTCCTAAACCTTGGGGTAATGTAATGACAGCTATTACAATAAGTCTTATTGTGCAATTCACGTGCCCTGTTGTTGTTGTCTAACAGTCTCCTGTTTCTGATTATAAATTACTGGCTTCCAGAGTAATAAATTAGTGTTTTAAGTAATATTATCAACACTTTGTGATTAAATAGTGATTATTTTTCTTGCTTTCAGATTCACCTCGGCGACTTTGGTGGTATCATTGGATTTGTTGGGCTCTTAGCATAGTTGGGATGTTCTGTATTCTCTTGGCGCATGACCACTACACTGTGGATGTGGTGGTGGCTTACTACATCACTACAAGGCTTTTCTGGTGGTATCACACAATGGCCAATCAGCAAGTGAGTTTTCCCCCAAATATTTGGTTCTCCTTGGCTCTTCATCTCCTCCTTTAGAATGTCAATCAATGAATGATATGTTGTTTTGAGACACAGAAAGAAATAACTAACAGAAATGTGGGAAGAAGCAGAGAGGGATGTGGAGTGGGTAGAGAAATTTGATTTTTTACAACTCTAATGCTCAAAAATCAGAAGACAGACCGAAATGATTTATTTTTGTTTTAAAATCTCATTATTTTAATGCTACTGTCATGTGTTTGAGGGTCTTGTAGAGTTAAACTGATAGCAATACTGACTGACTTATTTTTAATTTAGTCTGCCAAGGCTCAGTAATGTAGAGTCCTGGTTTAAATGGAAAATCCATTGACTGACTTCAGATTTGGTCAAAAATTCAGTGTCTATTTTTACTCAAAACTGTTTGCTGATCCTCATAAAATCTAAGATAGGAATGGAGTCTCTCTTGATCTAAGATAATAGGTCAGTGTAAAAGTATTATATGTGGAAAATTGAAAATCCTGATTATATATCCTTTAACACAGTCTCTCCTTATATGCCTGCTATGGCTCCAGTTCACAATAGCACTTGAGCACATGCTTATTCAGGGCCTACATGCAGTGCTGAAGTATGAATGTTCTGCGAATCATCAATGTTCCATCATTTCTAGTATATACCCAAAGCTTCTAACTAGGGGGAATTATATATATTATTGTTGGAAAAGAAAGCTGCTAGATCTTGGTTTAGGACATGAAAAGATGGCAATATATGGTCTTGATAATTAATGCCAGCAGCAAAATTGTTTTAAGTTGATAATATAAAAAGTAATGCAAGCTTAAGGCATTACAATACTTTTTAGATTGTAATACAAGCCTGGTACTGATAGGTTTACTGCTCCCAGAAAAATGAATCAATGCAATTTGCAACTGTAAACTAGTGAAGTGAAACCTAACTTAAAGCACAGTGGTGGAAATTACACCACAAAAGTCTTGTTATGGGAAATGCTGTACTTTTGTTACACAGAAAAACATTGGTTGTCCTGTCATCCAATTTTCACAGTGATGATATATCTACATATATTGGTTCTGGGAATCATTTAGTATGCTTGGGAATAGAGACTAAAGGTAATCCATTAAATCTTGTGTGTGATGATACCAACTGGCATGGCCTTGGCAGGATGGTTCTTTTGTGACGGAAGACTTATATAGTAGCAATGGTTGTGGATTATTGAGTTTACATTCAACTGAGGAATATATCATTCTCTAAATGTCCTTTTCACTTTGTCTTGGGTGTCCTTACTTGGCATCCAGCTGCAGCAACTGATACTTCATTAGCCATTTCAGGGTGATTGAATAGCAGTGCTGTACAGTTTGGGAATATGGAAGCCCAGGATTGACTTCAGAGGACTTGGGTCCTTCAGTCCTTTTCATGAAGAGTAGGAGAACACTAGATAGGAAGAGATCATCTTTATGGTGTAGACAGGTGTGTGATATTAGTTCTGTAGTCTTGTCAGGAATCTTATCCCAAAGGCACAAGACAAGGGGTCTACATTACAGTTCATGCTGTATAACACCAGGTAAGTTGGTAATATTGTTATATGGGCCACTTGCTTATATTTCCTACTTGGGCTAATATGGTGCTTGCCCAGTTTGGCACTGGAATCACTATTTCGTCGAACCCCCCAAACAGCATGATTGCTGTGCTGCCTCAATGTCTGTCCAAAAATTGACCTGGTTGAACTATAGCTAGCTTAAGTTGACCCAAGACAAGAGTCAAGAGATGTTTGAGGATTAGGGAAAGCCAAAAGAGGTTATGTCCGAGTTTGTTAGCCCCTTTAGCTGTATTGCGGTATGTCTTTCTTTTGTTACTGAAGACATATCTACACTGCCCCACAGTTCAGACTAAGGAGTGATGTGATTAGCGGTGCACACCAAAGTACTGCACTGTTAACTCCCCCACGTGGATGCCATAGTCACAAATGTAAAGGTCCCGAGTTCTCACTGTGACCTCAGGACCTTTAATTTTGCTCCCACAGTTTCTACCAGAGGAGCACTACTACTGACATCACCCATTAGCCCAAACTGTGGGGCAGTGTAGACATGCCCTGAAGTTGGCAACCCTAGATTGTGTTGGTTCCCAGATGATTCCAGAAGCCAAGTGTGTTTTTTGCCAGTTTGTGATTTTTTTCCCCTTCAGGTATGAATCTCTTCAAAGTCATTCATGCTTCAGTAACCTCCAGACTGGGTTACTGAAAAGCTAAGGGTTAACCACTCAGAAACTTTATATACTACATTGCTTGAACACCAAATTATTTACTGGTGTTTCACACAAGAAGCATGCCTGTGCTCCATAAAACTGGCTTGCTTTATACATGGTACTGTTACAGATGTTTCTTTTAATCTGGAAAGTTCTTTATAGTTTGGATCCTCCGGCTATCTATAAAAATTCTCTCACCTAGGACAACTCCTTGACAGTTGAGACTTGCTGTTCCTGTGGAACTAACAACCCCTAGAGGACAGAGAGTTCTCATAGGGCTCCCAGATCCGTAACTTGCTTACTCACTTGGTCAATGGAGCTGCAGTTTGACTGTTAGGACATGTTCTGCTTGTTCAGACTTTCATGGGAGGAAGGAAGGAGAGTTTTCGGGGGCAGTGGATAGGATGCACGTGAAAAATAATTATTTTTATCCAGCTGAAGTTTTGTCAACGTAGGTTGGTTTTGGTATGTGTTCATATTGTTAATGTAAATGTGCGTAGAGATAGGAGGCAGGTACTATGTAAATTGAAACAATAAATTTGTGGAGAATTGCAGACGATGGTGGCAAACAGTGTGCATTAAAATAATGAGAGAAATTGCTGTGCTTGTTTGTAATTATTTTTTCTTAATTATCTTTGTGCAGGTGCTAAAAGAAGCTTCCCAAACTAACCTCCTTGCACGGGTGTGGTGGTACAGGCCCTTCCAGTACTTTGAAAAGAATGTTCAAGGAATTGTACCTCGCTCTTACCATTGGCCCTTCCCCTGGCCGGTGCTGCATCTCGGTAGACAAGCTAAATACAGCAGACTGGTGAATGACACATAACAGCTGTTAAAAGTGCGGGGGAAAGGAACTGTCCAAAGTGCTCAGAACTCCATGAGAGAAGATGCCATAAAAAAGTGAACTGCTCCCTAATCCTTTATCTTTTAACCATTTCCTTGACTTAACCAATTCAGTTACCTGGAAAGCACTGTGATCTTTTTTTTTCTCTCCAAAGGATCTGCGTTGGACAACAATAAAGAAAATTTAACTTATCATGCACTGTATACATTTCTTGTTAATAGATTTGGGATTTACATTACCCATCACCATGTTCCTTTGTATATGATGCGACAGCATAAATGAAAACTTTTATATCATATGTTCTGGTCTTTCCAGTCACATCTGGGAATAAAACGTATTATTTTCTTGGGAAAACATACTTTTCATATCTCTTGCCCCAAAGATTGGGCTGTAAGCCATTTTCTAGCAAATGTCTATATGAAGGTTTCTAAATACCTGACTGGGGAAAAATTAAAACTCTTTCTACCTGTTACACCAATGTTACAAATAAAATGATAAGACACAGAAAAGTTTAGTAACTTTTGATTTTGTAAAATCTGCAGTGACAGTGTCAAAAAGTGCAAAAAATAATATTCTGTTGTAAAGTGATTTTCTAAGTATTTCCTAACTTTATTTTTCAAAATATGTATGAAGACTAAATTTAAAAAGATTTTTACATGTCAGAGAAAAGAGAGTTAAAATAAAAAATGCTTCTTGGAAGAGAGAGATTTGTCTATGTTTCTAGTGCCTTTCTTGTCTTGATTGTATGGTCAGTAGGCAGTCTTAGATGTTCTTATTTAAAATAAAATATTCCATGAAAACACAAGTATATGTACTGTATACATTAATAAATTTTACATTTATAACTAAATTAAACTGGAAATTTACTTACTGTTGAAATTGCTATTAGAAGGGAAAAAACAAATCAAAGGCTCAGATCTTGTTCACACATTGTGGGCAGATCATAGTAAAATGTAAGATTTAAATTGATTTTATTATCTACTCAGTAGCTGGATTTTAACTGTCAAGACAACAGCCATGGATTCACTTTTTCAGGAGTTTTACAGATGATCACTGACTTCAAATTGAATAGTTTCTCCATCCTTTAATGAAAATGTTGTTGAAAAACAACAAAAATAATCTATTTCTTTAAAATATATTTGTGCAGAAGCTGCATGTACCTCTAAGTTTCACTCCTACCATACATACTGTATGTTTGGGGAAGTATTCTATGATATCCTTGCCAATGTGCAGAACAAAATAGATTTTTAAGAATGAAGAAGATATCCATTCTGTATTTTATGTGAAGCAGAGTTATCTTCTATAGGGTTTTTGTGTATTCACAAGATGATATTTGTATTGTAAAACAATAATGGTGAAGGAAAATAAAGAGACTTTTAAAAAATGTATTTTCTTTTATCTTTTCAATATGTCTTAAATTTAATGGTAGGTTTCCACTCCAGAGGCTTGTCTTTACTTTTCTGTGTTTTATTGAATGGACTCAGAATTGGACTTTATGGAAACAGCATTCATTTTTAGCCAGTGTTCACATTTTACAAGTCAGTGCTTTAATGCTATGGAATAGTAGTAATATTTAAAGGTCTGATAGGTCTGACAGACCTCCATGTGTTGTACAAGGATCAACCCTGATCCACAATGAGGAATTGCTTCAAGCTGCTAGGTGACATGACTGCTTGTACACACAGGACCCCTCATGACGGGCTGCACATCCGGGGGATTCAGGCATGGCTCAAGTCAATCTACCATGTTGAGGTTCACCAGCTGGACAAGTTAGTATGCATCTCAGACAGGATATTGTCATCTCTGAATTGGTGCATGCATCTCAGACAGGGTATTGTCATCTCTGAATTGGTGCATGTGGCAGGACAATGTGTGCGGGGCCTCCCCTTATCAGGAATCCAACTCCTCCTTTATTTATTGTTGTCATCTCTTATGGGTCCCTCATTTGTACCCTTAGCCTCCTGCTACATTATTACACCTCTCAGCAAAAGTGGCTGCTAGAGGCCATCACCTCTGCTAGAGTAGTGGGGAGCTGCACATGCTGATAACAGATTCCCCAGATGCTATAATCTATGAGAGAAAAAAGTGCACCTTTCCAAGGTGCAATCTGATTTCCACCTAAAGCAGTCTGTATACTTGTCAGTCTCTTCCAAAGTCACATGCTCACAAGGATGAGCCTTTTACCTGGACAGAAGAAAACCCTTTTGGGTTTCTTACCAGCTCTTCGTATCGTATGCAGAGCAAATGAGACATCATCCTATTACAGCATGACGACTCTAAATGGATTGCAAGCTGCATTGTCACACCTATGCTGCCAAAGATATCAAATTTCCTGAGAAGCTGTCTGCATTCAACAAGAATGCACTTATCCATCCTCATTTCCTTTTGTGGGAAATGTTCTTATCATTGCCATCTGTACAGTGGAGACTAGGGTCTCAGTCCCCAGATTTATTAGACAGTATGCAATTACAGCTGCATCAAGAGAAGAGACAAATGTAAGAAAAAGAGAGTCCATCTTCTGATGAGACGCCTAGCTCCATATCTATTGATAATGATAATTGGGGATCACCCACACCCAGTAAGGGGTTCTGTCACCTCCTACCTTGTGACATTCGGTGCCTCTATGCTGCCATGGTTCAAACCCTGACACTAGTAACCAGCCTACAAGCATAAAGGTCTCACTGGCTTCCACCCACCTATTTACTCCTTGCAGGGTGACCCCAATAGCCCTTCTAGTCCCAAGTCTCTCCTTCCCTATTAACAGGGTTTGCAGTGTTTTATTTTCTTTTTCTCAGACTAGTAATTCATGGTTACACAGAGTGGGGGAAACTCCTTCCTTCCTTAGGCCATGTCTGTACTTACAAGCTTACAGAGGCATAGGTGTACTGATCCAACTGTGTAGCTGTAAGAGCACTCGTGTCCCCATGTTATGCCAATGGGAGAGCAGCTCTCTTGTTGACATAATAAAACCTGTTCAATGAGCAGCAGTAGCTATGTCTGACATAGCGCTTTGCACACAGGTGCTTATGCCAGCAAAACTTATCTTGCTCAGGGGTGTGTTGCACATCCTGTGTGACAAAAGTTTTGCTGACATAAATGCTATTTTAGACATAACCCCAGTTTTGGGAAAGCATGGCCTTCTTTTCAGTTTCTATGCCTTTCCATTACTTTAATGGTCCACCATTCTCTTTCCCTGGGTTGTACAATGTTAGATGTTTGGAGTTAGTTTAATGTAAGCAATTAGCCTGGGAGGTGCCCCTCCCTGCCTAATTGCTTCCCCATACTCCTGTGAGGTGATGCTGTAGTTGCACACCCTATTTACAATTAGTTTTCTAAGTGTATATACATGCATAATTCATCTTCGAATGACAATCAAGTTCAAAACTTTACTAGCTTTTATAAAAGCCTTATGTGACACATATTTATACCCAACAACATTGTATACAACCAGTTGATTCACTTGCTTGTTTTGGGGAGGTTCACACCCTTGTTCTCCTCTGCCTGGCCCCGGATTGTTCTGGTATTCATATACAGTGTAATGGGATATGCAAGCACCAGAAGAAGAAGAAATGGCTATTCTGCTTCTCATAACAGTTTGTTCTTTGAGATGTGTTACATATGTGCATTACATGGCCCATCCTCCTTCCTCAACACCTTGGAGTCTATCAGTGGTATTCCAGTGTAAAGGAACTGAAAGATGATCAGTGTGGCTCTCCTTTTTATGCCCTTCATTTGTAGCATGAGGAAGCCAGAGAGTAAATGGGGCCACGCCTACGGGTACCACTAGGGGATACTCTCTGGCATCCGTGCATGAGATACACATACACCTACAGTGTAATGGTCATATGCAACTCACCTTAAACAGCAGTTACAAGATGGGGAGTTATCAATTCTTAAAAGTGCTCATATGGTGCCAGTTTCTGGACAATCTCCATTATGCCTTGTTTTAGGTGGGGCCCCAGTCTCTTTCAGCTATTTTAAATGAAGGGTGTGTTCACACCTAATGGGTTTCAATAAAATATATCCCAGATCATAACATTTGCATCTACAGGGCTAAAATGTTGATCTAAAAATTAACAAAACTTAGATGTTGATAATGTTTGGGAAAGATTCCAGATCTCAGGGGTAAGTGATGAGATTGTCTAGATTTTTCATGATCACATATGAAAGATCATTGGCATTTCTATGAATATATGAGCATTACATTAAGTTGAATCTGCTCCATTCTGCATTATACTATCTTACTGCATGAATTTTGCTAAAGATGTTTTGATTTGCACAGTGAGTTTTCATTAAAGAAACCTGTCTTGATTAATACTTTCTGTTGTAGTTGGCAGCAAATAACTGTTGGGTAACTGGAATTACTCTTGTCCAGTGGATGCCGTGTGAAAATGGGATGGAGAGGATTTGGGAACATGGAAAATAAAATTCAAGGTGTGAGACAAAACTGGACTACCCATGAGTAAAGGGGGCAATTAAGGATAAAGGAGAAGCTACGTGATTTCTTTACATCAATATCCACCACCCAGGATGTTGGAAAGATACCTATTTAGTTCCAGGTAATAAAGAGGGAAACTATCAGAAACTAATGCTTCAAAAGAGGAAATACTGTAACAAATTGATAAATTAACCAGCAACAGGACACTAGGACCAGATGGTGTATGAGTTCTGAAAGATAGGGCAAGTTAAAATTTAACCTGCAGGGACCATAAACCAATGTGCAGCGTCTGAACATTTGGAGTTTGATACAATAATTAGAGAATAACCACTGTAATATATCACATGGTCCCCATAATCAAGGAGAACTTGTCTATGTGTCTCTGAAATTGTTCAGATATGGTATATTTTCTTTGGTTCTGCCATCCTAATTTTCGAAAGAAGTTACAAAGAGCTGCTCACGATCATTTAGAAAAAACATATGCACGGGAGTCTCAGTTTCAGTCTGGGGTCTCGTATTCCGAGGGTGAGGGAGGTTGGAACTCTTCTAGCTCTTAAAATTTTCAGCCCTTTTAGACACTGGCAGCTGGGCATGAGCCCATCTCCTAGGCTGCATTGGAACTGCCATGCCCTCAGTCTCCTTTAGACCTCCTCAGACCCTTTATGACCACAGTTAGCATAGTTGCTTCCCCGCAGAAGCTTTGTCTGATGCTGCTCCATCTCTTTTCTTGGAGACTGTATTTACTTTTGACCGTTCTACTGGATCCTTTACTGGTCTCTCATCAATCATTCCAATTAGGCTGTTTTTTCAGTTGGCTTCAGATATAGATTGTTCCCCCAGTCTCTCTTGAAACTGGGTTGTTTGCTTGCTAAGAGCAGTTGCTCTGTCTCTAGATGACTTGTTCCGGGCAGGATTGTGTAGGTGCAATTAATATTTCTCTGGTTTCTCTTTTTCTTAGTAAATCACATCATTCCTGCGATGTTTTAGAGGACCCCTGGCTGCAGCTATTGAATAATGTAAATTATTTTCTCTAGTTTTGTTGAGGCATGTTCCCCTGTCAGTAGTGGGAGGCTCTAAAGGATGGATGCTATATTTCCTGCTTGCCAGGAAAGGACTTTGAGGTCAGAGTCAGAAAAGTGTTTTGAGGCAAGAGGATCAGTGTTTTGTGCCAGACCCCTCCACCCAGGCATGATGTGCACAAATGCATAAATCAATACGTTGCATTCTTACTTTGGCACACTGACAGTGCGTGTAAAGCCAGGTGCCTCTAAATCACTCCTGGCTTATAAGCCTTAACACTTTGAGGCCAAATGCCCTGGGACATCGCCCTCCCATCTCAGAGCCCCGTGTAGACAAGTAGAA